ACTGTGGGGGCAATATGCTGACTCTGTAAACCGCTTAGAGAGGGCTGAAAGCCCTATGAAGCGGTATATAAGTCTAACTGCTATTGCTATTGCTATTCAGCATTCCCCACCATCCAGTCAGAACTGAAGAAGCTCCTTGGATGAGAAGCGAAGCATCTCCAAAGAAAAATCAGAAAGTCCGGTTGCCTCTTGAAAAAGCATCTTTGGGACAACCATGACCTGGATGACTAAGTATCTACATAGACACTCTGGAGGAAACAAATTACCTGGGCCCATTTCTAGGTCTTGATATGAAACTACTGGAAATCCTTTAGTTTCTCTGATGGGACTTGGATGAATAGAGCATAGCCATTCTTCTCCTGTTGGACCTTTAGTTCTCTCAACTACATTATCCTTCTGTACTGCCTACAAGGAGACATTGCATTGTGGTGACTTCCCTCTTCAACCACCTGAGAAATCCTATAAATTCATGCCAACTAAGGATGGAAAAGAAGGGGCACTGGGACATTCTTAGTTTATCCCAAAGGATGAAGGGGCTCTGAAGCCACATGTGATCCATTCCATTCTATTATTTGTTGGATAACCATTTGTCTGAAGTGGTGTAGGATTTCCTGCCTAAGTAGGGGGTTGGGCTAGAAGACCTCCAAGGTCCCTTCCAATTCTGCTATTCTATATTCTATATTAGATGCTTGTAAACTAATGGAGTCACTGATATAGTAAAACTTAGATCACAGAGCTTTCTTATTACACAAGGAATATAATTCTGAAGGCTACTGCCACAGATAGAAATAAACAAAACATTTCCCAATTTCTTGTTGCAGAAGCTAACCAGACTATAGTTTAATTTTGCTTCCAAGTAAGTCTGCTTCTTCATCAGTGGTGGGGAATAGACTGAGGATGGGGATGTGAGGCAGAGCAAAGGTGCTGCTTCTGTCTGCCCAGTCTCTAGATCTTCTGCTTGCCCCACTTTGCCTAGAAGAAGCAGATCCTCCTTCCCAAGGGAGCTTATCTTTCCTACTGAAAAGGGGCCACTCCCCACTTGTAGTTGATCACAACAAGCCACTGCAATCTCTTTTTCCTGCAGTGCCCCTTTGCTTTTCCCCACTTCATCTGGTTCTCACTCTAAGAACAAGGCCATCTTAACAAGCCTCTCTTTGTATTGGTATTTCTGCAGTACTTTCCCCACATTTTGGCACCATTCAAGGACAGCCTTGAGCTATGTAAAATCTGTTCTGTTTTGTCATTTGTCACCTAACTTGGATGAACGCCAGTGATTTGAAGCAGAGAATAACAGAAGTAGAATCACACAGGGATTGGCACCTGGGAGAGGCACATTTCACACAGGTATTATTTTCTGCCCACTCAAGGGATGCCTTAGATGGTTCTTCAAAATCAACGGTGGATAAAACCGTCGGGGAGGGGGGTGGGTGGATGGGATAAGCTATTTCTACCGATTTCAGTACAATCCTAAATAGAAGCATCCGTGCATAAAGTAGTGCACATTCACCCGCAGCACGCCGATTATGCTAAGTAGAGTTCAAACGTGTCTATTTGCATGGCTAAGAGGAGGAAAGAAACACCAGCCAGGGTTGGGGGTTTGGTTTTTTTGTTTTGGAGCCGCACGGGATTTTTAATGCCCCGGTCAAGGGTTTAAGCGCTCCGCAGCAACCTTCGGGTGCCTTTGCTCATTAGGAATGAACTGACCCCAGATTGCCGCCCAGACTATATTTCTCTCCCACTATTCCGTGCCGCTGCTGCCTCCTACTCTGTTCCCGCTCAAAGAAAGAGCTCTTTGAAATCAGCAGCACAATGTGCCTCTTTCTCTCCCATCTTTTATTCTAAACGGACCGAATCCTTTGTGCTTCCCAAGCCGGATGGGAGGAGGGAGGAGCGCTCGGAGATGGCCGGCCGCCTATCTCATCTCTCCGACAAGATTGCTACTCATCGTCGCCACGACCCCCAAACCGGATCCCCAAGGGCTCTTTCAGCATTCGGGGCGTGCCTAAGGATCTCCCACTTTCTTGGAAGCGCCCCCTCCCCCCGGAAAGGCACCGGCCAGCAACGGCCCCACCTCTCGACGAGCCGTTGCCGCTTTAAGCGGAAGACCATGCTGGGCGGTGGGTTGGGTCCCTGCGCTCCCCCTCGCCTCCCCCACGTGGTCTCGGTTCTTGTGAATTTCAATCGCTAGAGGGTCTGTATACAGACACCGGCCCCGCAGCCGAGGCTGGGGCATCCGTCCGGAATCGGGGTTCCTCCTCCTCACACGGGGTCTTCCCTGCCGGCCTTTTAGGCAGGCTCCTGCCTGACTCTGGAACCGGCCACCGGCAGCCACCATGAACCAAGGCAGCCCCGATCGGTGGAGCCGCGGGGTAGCGCAGCTACCGAGTCCCGGAGCGGCGGACTGAGATCGCGGCAGCCTCCAAGCTCAGCACCAGCCGCGGGAGGAGAATGCAACGAGGGGGTCTGGCCCGGCTGGGCTCCGTGGCCGTGCTCTGGCTGCTAGCTTTGGCTTCCTTGGCGGGGCTGTGGAGTGGACGGATTGGGGACCCGAGAACGATCGAACTGAAGTTCCCACAGGAGCGAGCCGACTCGGCGTTCGGCAGCATCCAAGTGGCGCCGGCAGCACCGAGCCGTCCCCTCCAGACAAGTCGCCTCCAAGCCGCCCAGAAAACTTTCCGAGCCCTGCTCACGCTGCCGGGACAGTCGACGGAGCTTCAGGAGGGGCAGGGAGAAAGCGGGCAGGAGCCGCCGCTTCCTTCGGCTCGCCCTCGGCGGGAGAGGCAAGGAGCAATGGGAGCCGAGGAGCAGTTTCCCTTCTTGCCGGTGCGCGGCGGGGTTTTTTGGAGCCAGACCTTGGAGGCTCAGGTGCCGCCGGGCTTTCCGGCGGAGGAGACCGCCTCGTGGCTGCGGGCGGCCCGGGAAGCGCGCGTCGTGTCGCTCGAACGCGGCGGCTGCGGCCGCAGCTCCAACCGACTGGCCCGGTTATCGGACGGGAGCCGCGCCTGCGTGCGCTACGGCATCAACCCGGAGCAGATCCAGGGCGAGGCGCTTTCCTATCATCTGGCCGGGCTACTGGGCATTCAAGAGCGGCTGCCGCCTCTGGCTCTCTCCCGGGTGGAAGCCCGCGGCGGGCAGTGGGCGGAAGTGCGCGACGAGCTGCGCGGCTCTCATTGGGCCGAGGGGGCCGTGGTGAGCCTGGCGCGGTGGGTGGACAATCTGACCGACGTGGTGGCCCCCGCCCCCTGGCAAACCGAGGCGGGGGTGCCGGCGGCCGGCCGGAGGTTGCAGCCCCTGTCGGCGGGGGAGCTGAGAGGCCTCAGCCAGGCGCAGCTGGTGGAGCTGGTGCAGTGGAGCGACTTGATTCTCTTCGACTATCTCACGGCCAACTTCGACCGGCTGGTCAGCAACCTGTTTAGCCTCCAGTGGGACCCCCGCGTCATGCATCGGGCCACCAGCAACCTGCACCGGGCCCCCAATGGGGGATTGGTTTTCCTCGACAACGAGGCCGGCCTGGTGCACGGCTACCGGCTGCTGGCCATGTGGGACAAATACAACGAGCCTTTGCTGCGCTCCGTCTGCGTCTTCCGCGAGGCCACCGCCCAGAGAGTGCGGGAGTTGCACCGCTTGCGCAACGCGGCGTCCGAGCTGCTCAGGCTCTACAGGACTCGGGAGCCTCTGGCCGAGATTCTCGGCTTCCTCTCCGACCAGCAAGCCCAGATGCTCCAGGAGCGGATCGACTTTGTCCATAAGCACATTTTGCACTGCAAAGCCAAGGCCACCGCTCCGTGATGCTCTTTGCCTTGGTGAAACCGCCTGGATTTATGAGACTCAGAAGAGATTCAAGAATGGGGAGAAGAACGCCTGAAGGGGCTCTTTCCCGCTATTTAAGGGCCTGGGGATCAATATCCCTAAAGGAAATTAAGGCTGGAAGCCCCCCTCTTGGGGGTTGACAGGAACCTCTCCCATCAGAATGGTCCTAAGATTTCACAGAGGAATATATGTGGCAAGCCCAGCTAAAAATGAACATGATTCAGAGTTCTGTTTTGTGAGGATGAATAGCCAGTAGCTGAACTAGTTCTTGTCTCTCAGATACTTTGTTCCTGGAATCTATCTGCAGAATGTGATCCTTCTTTACCTGACACTCCTAGTGTTAAGTTTCCAGCTCCTGAAGAAAAAGCACCTTGCTGCCAATATCGCTCTTCTTGTGACCACTGGGAAGGCCTGGGTGTTTGGGAGAGATGCACTCACATGGCCTTCTGCACCCTGGGAGCCTCCTAGATGCATTGAACCACATCTTACACCAGACCCCAGCTGGCATGTTGGCCCAGGGTGATAGAAGTTGTAATCCTGTTCCACAGGAGGGTGCCATATTAAAGCTGGATTAAAATGTCATAACACCCCCCGCCCATTTTTAAGTATTAGATGTAACAATGCCCCCTTCCTCATCTGCACTATTGCCTATTACAGAAAAGGTCAAAAATATCTTCCCAGTCTGCAGTTTTTGTTAGAATTGCTGTGAAGATGCTGAGTAGCCGGGAGTTAGAAACATAACTGAGTTTCAGAGGTGATTCATGTCTTTTATATAATCTATATATAAAAAATAGATTTATCTGTCACTGTCATTTCCCTTACCAGGAAAATTAAAAGGTCCTGTACAAAAGCTATGGTTGGCATTTAAATGAACCACCTCCCTTGTCCTTCCAGTGGGCATCAAGAGTGTGTTTCTTTGTCACACCCTTAAAAAAAGCCTCCACAAAAGTTAATTTAATATCTAGATATTGTAGCTCCACTTACAGAACAGCATTTTTAGTGAATTTCCTGTCGGCATGGACAGCGACAAAGTCAACAGTTGTAATAAATGTGCAGAAAAGTCACTGTTGTTAACACCTTTTATCTCTTAACAGTCAGAAGCATTTGACAAAAAAAAAGTGGTTCCACAGCATTTCTGTTTTATATGTAACCCAGTACTGTATAATAAAATGGGGTGGGGGATTTCCAGGTTTATAGTATTGTCAGTGTAGTAAAATTTTGATGCATTAATTTGGAGAAGGGAAAAATAAGTTTCTTGCACTTTACTTTCTTTTTATATATACATATATATATACACACAAAATCTTGTTATTTAAAAAAGTCTGCATTTTAGGTACATGATATATGTTCTTAAGCCTTTCTGTAATATACTAAAGAACTGGATATTTCAGTAAAGATGTGTTAATGTTTTGCCTCTTTTGTATCCAGGTTTTGGATTTCATTGTTCTATGAAGTTTTTCTTTTTCCATAATTTGAATGGATATTTTTCTTTAGCCCAACAGAGTTAGTGATAGTGTTATTCCAAACAGTAGGGAGAATACTTATTTTTTGTAAATTGATTTCCTGCATTAAAATATTCAAAATCAGATGAGCATCACAGGCTATATAAAACATACACCTTCTAGATAACTGGTCTGTAAAAGTGTCCTTCCACTTGCTTCCAAGAAAATAATTATTCTGCTTTTTTTTTATTCTATCAGTTCAAATTTCAACGCAGTCTATCCTTGACTGTTTCACTGGTGTAGAAATCAGAACTATCAAAACACTACTTTTGACTATGAGCAATTTTCAACAGATGTTAATTTCTTTTCCATTTTGGTTTCTGGCAAATGAGTTACAAATGAAAAATCTGTGCCAAGAATAATTTAGGACTTTGTTTTAGCTTAGCTTCTCTTTTGACTGTGGTAGTGGTACCTACAGAAGCTGAAATTAAAAGTATCATGACTTTTGATAAGGTTCAATGCTTCAATCCAGCACTTATGAATGGAAGTTCTATCTTTTGCAGGCCAGTCCTCTGAGAATTAGCCGAGGGCATTTTTTAGAATTTTTTGTATATGGATATGCTGGTGTGGACAATATTATCAGAAACAATATTGGGGCTCAGATCTTTTGATTCTTGGAAGAACCAGTTCTGTACAAGTGAAAGCAGAGAGGGGAAATACAGTTTTAATTTCCCACCAACTTTAATCACTTTGCCACAGCTAGAGCATATATAGTGTTATAGATCAGAGGCAGAAAGAATTTTGTAAGAAAATAGAATAAGTGGGTAGAACATGAGTTTTGGAATTCTTTCTAGTTCTTTATTTGCAGTAGCCATAGTTGGTGTGTATATTTTTGTCCTTGTAATAGGGTACAGAAGCATTTCCATTCTCACCTTGCAGGACATCTTGTCTGATTATTTATATATATGTGTGTGTGTGTGTGTATGTACCCTGGGAAACACAGGGCAGGCTGTGTATATGCTTTTCTAGGTTATGGGACCAAGGGAAATTTGAACCAGAAAAAAATCTGGTGACAAAATTTTATGCAGAAATAAAACCACTCGGGATGGTTTTAAAAAAAAGAAAAGGGGGTAATACATTATTTTTCCTTCCCCTACATGAAATATTGTAGCCTAAATACTTGTGCAATCTCTGGATATTGGGGTGGATATGTTAACAGGAATAATTTGCATAGTAAATTTTTCTGGAAAATTTTCCAATCCAGTTTTTTTCTCTGTTGACCAAGAGATGAAGAGCGAAGAATTTAAAATGGAACCATCAGCAACATTTTGATTCAGTGCCTCTCCTATAGAGATAAACTAAGGGCACTTAACACATTTATTTTTCTGGAATGTTTTTCTCTGAAGCTCTCCAGCATATCTCACCCATTTTTGAACTCCCCTTTGCCAGCTTCTTCCTCCACACCAAATATGCTGCTGTTCTGCTCCACTTTCACAGAGTTAATCCTGCTAACTGATGGACAGAAACCTGAGCCTCCTTTACATAATTCCCTCAGAAATCAAAAACATTGTGGTGTTTGCAAATGGGTGCCTCACATCTGAGAAGCAAAATTCTGGACAATCTCTAGATGGTGGCAAACAGTTAAGAATTTTGTGCATTTCTTTTCTGCTATTTTAGTGGAAATCCATATTTTGCGGGCCAGCTATTGTGGTCCTAGTTAAATACTGAACCTTTAAATGCTTAACTAAGTTATGATCTCTGAGGGACATGGACAGTTTAGAAATATATAATATATATAAATAAATAATCCTCAAACCTTACAAAGGCCCTAGAAGGCTCTTTCCCTCCACAGCTTCAACTGACAAGGTTCTTTATTTAACTCTTATTTATAGCTCACAGCTTTTTATCGCTCAGCACAAAGCATAGGCTCCCATGTGGCTTCTTTTGCCATTTACATGATAATATGGAATTTAACTGTGTAATTTTTTTAGCATGTATGTCAGCATGAGTTTTGTAGCTTACTCAGATGCAGTGCCTCAGACTCTTTTCACCTAATGAAAATACATTTAAATAATATAGCAATGGCAGCATACATTTAAAATCAACTGTAAAGGTAAAAGGCAGTGCCATAAACATCCCAAGATCTTTGTTTAAGCTCTCTGGAAATCTCAACTGGATCACAGCTTCGGCGGTTTAACAGATTATTCATCTTCCTTGCCACGGTGTCAAAACTAAGTCTCAGTTAATTGTACCTTTCCGAAAGAATCACGGGCGTATGCTTTGATGATCAGTGATGATAATTTCAAATGATACAACGACAGTGGATTCAGAAATGAGGGGCTACTTGCAAAGCAGAGAAGAAAGAGGAGAAAGGTGTGGAAAAATGGCTTCATAAGGGACAATAAGGGTTGGATTATAGATTTCAGAAGTATGAGTGACTTGGTTCAGACATAATGTTATAATACTGCTTTTAACCATGAGTTGAATAAGAAATATTCTGATTCAGTATTCTTACTGAATAAGAAATATTCTAGAATGCTCACAGCATGAAGCTACAAATCATCACTTGCAATCATAGTGAGCCAAAACATATGCAATACAAAGTGATACACATTTTGTCCTCATTGGTTCCTATACTCTATATTTGATCCTAATGTTTCATTCAGAAATAATTGCTCTTTCAGTTCAATAGCAAAACCACATTGACTTACCATATATTCAGCTTAATAGTCTTTACAACATTCTCTGGGTGGCTTATAGAGTCAGCATATTGCCCCCAATAATCTGGGTCCTCATTTTACTGACCTCAAGGATGGAAGGCTGAGTCAATCTTGAACCGGTCAAAATCGAACTCCTGGAGTGAGCAGTGAGTTAGCATGCAGCACTGCATTCTAACCACTGCACTACCAGGGCTATTATGAAAGTGGGTTTTGATGAAGTGTATATTCTGTCATCAGATTTCAGTGAGAGACAAACCTGAATATTCCTGCTTCCCTAGATTATCTATATTTAGAATACTAGAGGAAAAAATAATTCTAGCCTAACATATCAAGCTTATTGCAGATCTGAATAACCTGTGATCTTAGCTTGGTTCCTGACTTCACAATTTATGATATCCTAAGGTTACCAATGAGCTTGGCTTATGTAGTTTCACACTCAAGTGAAAAACTTGCAGAACAAAAATGTTGCTTCCTGGGCAAAGGCTTTCCAGAGACTTAGTGACAATGGGCACAATTTAATCAACTGTTCAATTGTTTTTTTCAGCAGCTTTTATGTAATAGGCAAGATAAGTCAGGTAGTTTTAGCCTTGCTTATCTTTGAATTTATCTTGACACTGAATTGGAAACACTCTTCATTCTGCAAAGGCAAAAATAATAGGTTTTAAACAAGAATTGCATTGCATTTCTGATTTACTTTTATAAAACTAGATCCTAGTTACTTGTTGCTGTTATTTCCCCAAATTATTTAGTAGCATAAAGTAAAAAATAAAAAATAAAACATCACATATGAAACTAGATTCATTAATAATTTTCTGGTTAAAATTGTATACAAATGCATCCTGAATCAGTTGGTGGAAATTATATATACTCCAGAATCCTGTATCTCTTTAGCGACATATCTTTGAATTGCTATAAAGTTAAGGAATACTCTTGTTTATTTCGTTAAAACTAAATAGTTTAAAATAATTCTTTTTTTGTTACATTTTTTGGTTTCTTGCATTCCAACTCCTTTTCCATACCCAGTTTTAACCCAAACAAAAAGATTAGTGGCTTCATTTCAGTAAGCCAGTAATTACTTGGCAGACCATGAGAGAGCATATCAGGTACAGGATTTTAAAAAAAATATCCTTTTCACAAGGAAAGCAAGAGCAATTTATCTGCTTTGTTTTACTTTTTAAAAAAGCCTCAATTTTCCAGTTTTAACTTGCTCAGAATTGAAGTATGTTTACAGGAGGCTGAAGCAAAAAAAGGCTAATAGTTTTGTGCATAGTGTGTGGTTAAATAAAATTTATGGTTTAGCACAGAGACAGGATATACATATTTAGGCATCATTCACTTAACTACAGCTTCTCAAATAAACCACAGTTTGCTGTATTCACATCTTTGCTTATGTGCAGATCAAATGTTGAAATAAAAACATTCTCTGATCATTGAAATAAATATATAAAAATGAAGCATTGTGACATCATCTACCTACAACTTTTTATGGAAATCATTTTGTAACAATGACTAAATATATGCACAATATATGCTAAACTGCAAGTTCTTTAACTCGTTTATTAAATTATAATAGCTTATTTCACACACCATATCATAAATCATGATTTACAAACCACAATGTACTGGACATGCACAAAACGCTTCAACAAAACCCTGCAAACCACAGTACAGGTTAAGATAATGTGGGAACTCAGGCAATGCATATAACTTTACGCCCTAATTTTTAAAGTTGTTTTTAATTTTAGGGGGGAAATGTTTCTAACCTGAATTTAATTTTGTTCCCTTTTGGTGTCAAGAAAATTTCACGGTCCTTTTCATGAAGTAGCTAAAAGTAAGTTTTCATATTTTTTAGCAGACTTCAGAGTGAGAGATAAAGATTTTCTTATTTTCTCCTTGCTGTCATCTGTCAGTAGTAGGTGTCTGATATTTTGGTACCCCAAAGCAATAGGTCCAGTTTAAGATGCAGGTTACTCCCCAACAGTTTTTATTTATTGTTATTTACTGGATTATCAATTACTGATAATTTCTGCTGGTCACCAGACCCCTTCAATTAAAGAATATAATTTAATGAGGCCTAGGAAGTGTTCCTTCTCAGTTGCAACCCCAACCTTCAGGAATGGCATCTCCCTTGATATTTGAATGGCTCTCACCTTGATGATTTTTAGCAAATCTCTGCAAATCTGCTTCCTAAGCCTTGGGGCAGATAAGGTTGCAGTTGAATTCTTGTGGGCAGTGGTGTATTAACCATTAAGCCGACTATGCACATGCTTAGGGCACCAGGCTCAAAGGGAGCACCACAAAGTTGAGAAAAGAACTCCCCCAATGAAGCTTGG